ATTCAGTTGACTCACTCGCCTTCTCCACTGCGTGTCAGTTCGCTTCGCTCTCTCCTCTTCTCTTCATTTCTCTGATCGTCTGTCCGGATCAACGATTGTACGAAATATACGTATTCGAAATCCATTCTCGTATTTAACTTATTTAATTCCATTATTCATCAACAGAAGTGAATTTGATAGTTATGTACGAGGGTAGTCCGAATGTATATCACGATAATAATCATTCACACAATCCAATTGGACTCAGATACCGGGTCACCTAGGTTGATGAGCTAATCGAAACCCCATCGATAACATAATCGTCCGATCTAATTTGTTTCAAAATGAAGTGCCTTATTAGGACTAGACCAAAATTTAGAAATAACATGCTTACACAAACAAATATTCATGGTAATTATTATGATTACAACTTTAAATAGTGTTAAGTAGATGTAAATTTATTTAAGATACTAAATAAAAATATTGCAAATATATATGTGATGTGCAAGAACACTGTACAATATAGATGTTAACTTCACACCAGTGAGCTAGGAACAAACGCTAATAATATGTAAGAATGAAATAATATGGGGATATTTCAATAGTTGAGATCATGAGTCAAATGAAATTAAACCACCATGGAAAACCCGGAAGCACTGGTTGGCCGTTTCGTCCTAGTATGGGACTCTTCAGCAGTGTGCATCCACAACCTTGATCCCCGTGTGATTCGAACCCAGGACCTATTAGTCTCACGCACGAGCGCTTAACCTCTTGACCACTGAGCTGGTCGGCATCCAACGGTGTTAATGTCTAATTTTAACCAGTCCACCAGTGGAGTTAAACCGGGTCTTTTGTGAGATGGTAATTCACTGATGATAATGATGGACGATGTCGCAACTTCTTATATTGGTTGAATTTAGACATTAACAGCATTGGATGCCGGCCGGCTCAATAGTCTATTGGTTAAGCGCTCGTGAGCAAGACTGATAGGTATGGAAAAAAGAGGCATGAAGAATTCAGAGGATTAGAATTTGGGAGAACACAAAGAGTGGATGTACCTGCGTCACCCGAGCGATTTCATTCAAGGTCTCTAACCATCGGTCGCTATCGCTTTATACTTTTTAGCTTAATTTCTTTCATGTTCGTTCTTTCTTATGTATTTTACACTATACTACTGAATAATATTCATTAGTTAATGTTACTAGTAGTCAATTTGAAACTTGTAGTGGTGAGACTATTATTTATGGACATCCTTAGAGCGATGCCTAAGTGAACTTGAGAATGTCCACCCACGAACTATGGTTAAATGAGGGTAATAAACCTGTGTGAAGGATAAGGATTATAATTTACAGTTGATGTTTAGGGATACGGATCAGACTAAGGGTTTTCATCTAAAATGCCAAGACGCTATTTAGCCAAATGGATAAAGAATGTTGAAATCCTGTTTTTTTTTTAAACATTAACACCATTGGATATTGGCTCAGCAGTCTAGAGGTCAGGCATTCACATGTGGAACAGAAAGTACTATATTCAAGTAGTGAGCGTGGGATCGTGGATGAGCACTGTTGAGAAGTCCAATACTAGGACGAAATAGCCATCCCAGGTTTCCAATGGTGGTCTAACAATGATTGATACTCTCTATGTTTTGAATAAGTACACAGTTCCTTGGGGTAATTAACATTTCTATCCATAATTGTTACGTAACAAGGCATTGATTCGTGAATACAACATGCTCAATGAATCGAATTTACCTCACATCAAGAAATCAGAACTTAAAGAGAGTCGTGAGGTAAACAGATCTCCACTTTTTCCTGTACATATGACCCACCATTATATGATTTTGCGTTTTTTTTCTTGTTCCGGTTTTCTAGAACTTTCTCTGTTGTTCTTAAACATGAGCATGCCATGGTCATCGAGTTAACTAATTTTAAGCTTATATTCTTTTTCTTAACCTATGATCCTATACAGTTAGTCTTTTATTGATAATGCGTAACTTCACTAAGTGACTCTTCGACATTAGAAAACTTCAATATGGTTGCATCGGGTCTATCTTCAAGAACTTTAATTTTAAATTATAAGATGCTTAATTAGAATCATAATAGTGAAAACTTCCATTTTGACATTTGGTAAATAAAGAAGAAATGAATCAAGCGAAGAAATTTCTTTTCAATTAGTTTATCATCATGGTAATGTGGGTACCCGATGAAATTCATCGACAAACACATGGAGGAGATGAAAAGAAGAACAATGATACCTACCGTTTCTAAGAAAGTATTGTTCATAAAATTACAATTCCTAAAGGACACTATTGAGGAAATTGCGACTTAGAGACTAAGAAAAGCGGTATAAAAAACATTTATGGCAGCCTGACTAAGTGCTGTCTTCTGCAACCACCCCACAATAAGAACGGCCAATAAAGACAGGTTGCCTGAATTCGCCAAATCCATGTGTATTTATCGATTCAACTGCTCCTGTGGAGCTAGTTATATAGGGTGTACAATTCGGCAAGTTCGTCATCGTATAACAGAGCACTATCCATCATGGTTGAGTAAAGGACAGGTAAGAGTGATTAAGAGTTCTATTCTCGCTCACTTGGTTGACACAGATCATCAAGTTGAACTGAATACAGCTTTTAAGGTTATCCACCATATTCAATCAAACTTGCCACATGGTTTATGGGTGCGCCTTTTGCATATTGCTAAGGCCATCGCAATCCAAGTTCATAAACCTAACCTTTGCATCCATAAGAAGTTTGTACAACCACTTTCACTACCTTGGCCATCGGTATAGGGGCGTTTATAGCAGAACCGTTTGTGCACTTCTTCCATTTTTTGTTTGTTTTTTGAATTTTGTATTTTTTCTCAACATTCATCTGTTGATTCTTACATAACTACTATTCTACTGACACTTCATTAAAATACTCAGTTCCTTCTACTTTTCATATATTATGAAACATAGCAACTGCTTGATTTTTGAATAATTACTTTGATTATTATTAATCCTCTTTCTTCCACTTACTCAATAGTGATTTATAATCGATATGTGATTATGTAATTATTACGTAACGTATCTTTACTTACTTACTTACTTACGCCTGTTACTCCTAATGGAGCGTAGGCCGCTGACTAGCATTCTACAACACACTCTGTCCTCGGCCTTCATTTCTAGTTCTATCCAATTCTTGTTCATTTGTCTCATGTCTATCTCCATTTCCTAGCGTAATGTGTTCTTTGGTCTTCCTCATCACCTTCTTTGGCCTTCAGGATTCCATGTGAGTGTTTGTCTTGTGATGCAGATGTGTGCTTTCCTCAATGTGTGCCCTATCCACTTCCAGCGCTTCTTCCTGATTTCTTCCTCTTTCCCATAGTAGATTGTTGTTGACAGTGTCTGGTCAACGGGTCCGAAGTATCTTACGTGAACGACTGTTAATAAACACTTGTGACTTCTGGATGATGACTTTTGTAGTTCTCCAAGTTTCTGCCCCATACAGTAGAACTGTGTTGACATTTGTATTGAAAATACTGACCTTGGTGTTTGTTGACAGTCAGCTATTTTGATTTCCATATGTTCTTCAGTTGTAAATATGCTGCTCTTGTTTTACTGATCCGCGCCTTCACATCTGCATCAGATCCACCTTGTTCATCAATGATGCTGCCTATATATGTAAATGTTTTTACATTTTCCAAATCTTCTCCGTCAATTGTGACTGGATTGGTGCATGCTGTGTTGTATCGGAGAATCTTGCTTTTCCCTTTGTGTGTATATTGAGACCTACTGCTGTTGAGGCTGCTGCTACACTGGTCGTTTTCTCCTGCATTTATTGTTGTGGTTGCGATAAGAGGGCCAGATCATCTGCGAAGTCCGCCTGGAGTCCCTCCGGGGGCTACTGCCGGTCCCAAGCCTGGATAAAGGAGGAGGGTTGGGCATGGGGTTAGCGACCCCATCCCGTAGAAAACTAACTCGCTAAAAAACCGCGTAACGTATCCAGTCGATGAGTAATATTTTATTATTGTATATATATATATATATGTAGAATCGTAATAACTAATAATGATCATTGATAAATTTAACCTAGAAAATATCTGGTACCTTAATCACCTTAAAATCTGTTGCCATCATCAACAGTATCAACCTTTTCTTGTAATTAAACGACAGTTATTATTATTTCATCAATAATTCATTCATTAATTTCATTACTCTAAATCAATTATCATTTCAGGAGAGATTTTTTAATGTGCATATGATAGTAATTTTAATAGATGAAATCATCAGTCCATTAAGGAATGAAGAAGATTTATAGTTCAGGTGGATAGAGTTTGTACTATTGATGATATCATTTAAAAGAATGATGAAAACTTCACAACCAAACCATCCAAATCAGAGAAAAAAACTCTGTCGAAATCAATTGAAGAGTCCTAAAATAGAACAAAATATCTATCCAATACTTCCAGGTATTCCATGATGATCTAACTTCAATTAACTCATGATCTCAATTACCGTTTGTTTAGATTATAGCAACTCATGTGCAATTGAGTTTGTTCTCATTTAACTCAATTAAGACCTTTTGTTAACTTATTTAGAGGACAAAGTCATCCATACTATAACAACTTATTGTGGCTTTATTATTGTTGTGCTTGTATGAAATATGTATGCTTGAACATTGTTTACCGCCTATTCATATATCCATTGTGCTAGCTTTATTATTAAGGGCTTAATTGATTCGATGATCCATTCATTTTCCTATATATATACATGTGCATTTACACTCTACACACTCTACACTCTCGGTTCACTGATTCATTCATTTGCCTCTCGACTTTGTGGTCTGAATTATCTGCTAATAAAACTGTAGTCGCTGCTTATCTTTGCCTTCTGATTTCAAACACTATTGAGGATTATATGATAACGGTTACGAGGGTGAGTGGTCAACGATGCACAGCCACTACAAGATTATGTAATTTATTGATTTTATAAGTTGATTATTTATTTTTTTCTTTAATTTGTTTTCTATTCATCAATAGATCCAAATATATATGCATCATTTGATGAATTCAGTATCAATGGTATGGATAATCAAAAGAATTTTATTAAAAATCAATCATCTTCACATAAAACTTCTGGTAAATTATGTGGTTGTTTCACAAGAAGATAATAAAGTGAGATATTTATTTGGAAGAAAGCATTTATTATAACAAATGAACATATTACTTACTTGCTTACTTACTCACCTACCTACCTACTTACTCACTTACTTACCTGCTTACCTACCTACCTACTTACCTATCTAGCTACCTAGTTACCTACCTACTTACCTACTTACTCACTTGCCTATCTACCTACTTACCTACTAACTTACCTACTTACCTACCTACCTACCTCCTACTTGCTTACTTGCTTACTTACTTACTTACTTATGCCTGTTACTTCTAATGGAGCATAGGCCACCGGCCAACATTTTCCAACTCGCTAAAAAAGCGCCAACTAGAAAAAACAATTCAAATGCACGTAGAAAATCTATATATTGATTGTTGAATTACTGGATTTGGGATTTCTTTTCTTCATTTGAACATGTAATGCATATACATAATTAACGTTTCCTGTTATTATTATCATTATTGTCATTGAGGTTAATCAATTGAATAATTCATTGTTATTTGATTAATTTAAAAGTTGAATTCATGAGTCCATTGAAGCTGGACCACCATGGAAAACCTCAAAGTACTAGACAGCCGTTTCGTTCTAGTATGAGACTCTTCAGCAGTGCACATTCACAATCCCGCCACGCGAGATTTGAGACTGACAGGTCCTGGTTTCGAATCTCGTGAGGGGGTATCGTGAGTAAGCACTGATGAAGAGTCCCATAGTAGAACGAAACGGCCATCTAGTACTATGAAATTTTTCATGATTGTCTAGCTTCAATGGACTCATGAATTCAACTATTATCTTACTATAATATCCAGAAAAATCCCTTTTTGATTTGATTACTTGGTTGAGAAATGACTGTGATCATTTTTAATGATGTTTTAAAAATAGTTAAGATATTTTGGAAAGTTTAAGTAATAAGATAGTAAATAATAGAGAAAATCTGTAGCTTAACTATGTATATTTTCGTTAGCATTGTGTTACTAAAGGTGAATAATTAACTTACTAGGCTTCAGTGTAGATGCTATTGAGCTGACTTCAAACAATCAACAATTTGAGATTTCAAAGAGAGAAAGAACGAAGATTGATACAGTTTGTTTATGTATTTTTGGTAAACGAGATCCATAAGGTTGTAGGTTATTTTAAATGGAATTATCGATCATCATCTTCTTCAGGAGATCCCTGAATACTTTTGTGATTCCTTTTTCCGGCTGAATCAGTTAAGTGCTTGTTACTTTTATCAAACTTGAATCTCATGTGGTCACATAAAATGGACTTCATCTTAGAGACGTAATCCGTTTTGTTCATTAGAACAACACTTGAACCTTTATCTGACCATAATATCATTAGATCATTTCGCTTAATATTTCGTAGTGCTGTTAGGTGGTCTTTAGATTGATAAGTCTTGCGGATTTGAACGCTATATTCGTCTCCTAAGCTATTCTGTAACCCCTAAGCTAGAACTATACAGCGACCTGAACACGAGAGAGAAGACTCAAAGTATGCGAGAGGTAGTTTACTCCAAGGTTCATTTTAATATAGAAAATACAGGGTTTTTATTATATTTTAAATGTCCCTGGGTCGCTGGAATATTCTGGGATGCTACTAAACATAGTAGCAGTGTAGCAGCCAACCAACCAGAGCTTCTGCATGTGACGTTTCGCTTTCTTGATATTTCTGGCCAAGACTCCAAGTGAACGCTGATTGGACGAAGCGCTTCTTAGTGTTTCCTGATGCTTGCTTGTCTTTTGCAAGCAATTTTCTGGATCACCCCAATAGGATAAAAGTTTAGACTGTGGTGTGGGTGAAACGATATATTGCTTTGCGATATCAACTAATTTAAATTTAAATCAGCTTCTCTTCTCTTCTCTTCACTAACTGGGTCCAACTCTTCAATTTGATCGAGTAAATTCTCAATTTGAGTTTCTGTGTCGATTCTGTCGGTATGTATTTTAGGGATATGGAATTTAAATCTAAGCAATAAAGCTTCTGCATCAATCTTCGTTGTTGCTCTCTTTAAGGGAACTATGTGTATGAAATTTGTGATTTTTCCATGATGCTTTATAAGTTAGATATTGTCAATCAACTACTTTTCCAACAATGAAAAATCGAAAATTGTAACGTTTAAGATTCAAATATCTCAATCTGAAAACAGAAAACGATCCAACAAAATGAGGATACATTTTATTGGGCTAAATCACTGGATTCTCTTGTATAGAGTACGAAGATTCGTTGGATCATCCATAGTTGACGAATATTTCTTAATGATATTAAAGTCCCGTGACTTCCGAAAAATTTCGGCTTTCATTCTAAGGCTTCATAATTCGCCCCTCAACTCCCAGGTTTAATTTGTTTAGTCTGGTTGGTGTTTTTTTAGCAAGATTTTCCTCTACATAATGGAATTGCCGATCCCATGCCCAACTTTTCTCCTCTATCCATTCTTGGGACCGTCAAAAACTCCAGGAGAACTACAGCCGGAGTTAAAGCATAAATTGGTGCATGAATATTTATGATACTATTGAGTAATAACAAAACATAACAAAATGTCCAAAATAATTCGACAATACTGTTGGCTTATTACACAGTCGAAATTTTCCTGGATGTAAAATAGTGTACCATACAACAAAACAATAACTAAATACAACTGAAAAGTGGTTAAAAATCAAAATCTGTATCTGGAGTAAATGTTTTTGGGTTCAAAAGTTGGTGGGAGGTTGAAAACAGCAATCTGTTTATAATAATTGGTCACAAACCTAACGAAAGGATCAAGGATTAACTTAAAAACCAGTACCAAACCATCTTCTTACTTCGTAGGGGAATCGATTTTCCTTTAACAAAGTATACATATGAAATGACGCAATTTCGATTTTTCATTTTTGCCTTATGACAATCAGTGTGTTCATTACCACTACACTTCTGTCCATCTTTTATTCTTAATAGTTAACTATGATCAATATAATGAGCTTACTTACGTTATTCGGTATCCACTATCAATCTATGAGTGTCAAATACAGTTATGTGGTAATTTGACTCATAACTTTACGTGAAAGCCACATAACCAGATGAATCTGTAACTTGAACTAACTTAACACAGTTATAAATCTTTTCTACTACTTTCATACATTTGAAAGAACAAATAAACACTTGCTAGGCAGAGATACTTTTAGATTAAAGCGTGAAGTCGAGTCGCGATTGACTATGAACACCACTACAAGAAGACTACTTGCCAGTTAACCGTGAAATCCCCCGTAAGCAAAATATCAGAAGGCAGTTGATGGCTGTAGTCGAGATGTATTTTTTGGCGATCTCGTGGTATCGAAAGGATACCGAGATCGTACCAAAGTGTGGTTACCTAGCGTAACTGAACCTGTGCAAGGTCACAATCAATCGAAGGATAATGGAGCAGTAATATGGCTGTCTTTAGCACAGTTAAACAAACGAGCACAGTAAACATTCACTGGTACAATTGGTTATACTAATAATTGTTTCTATTATATCAATCGCGTTCTCTTGATAAAAGTAGGTCACTACAAGATGATAACAGAAAGAAGCTAAAGATGGAGAGCTAATGACGTATTGGCACACGTATCAACCTCCATATGAGATGGACTGATAATTCACATTACTGATTGTTGATCTTCTAGGAGTTAAAATAAGCGACATGAAGTTTTATAATCAATCATAAGTAGAAATGAATAATTTTAATAAGGTTCAGGATTACTTTAATAAATTTCTAATAGTTGGTAGAAAAAAAGTAGCTGGATTCAGTAGACGTTCAAGGTTAAGAGGACCTTGACACGAGTTGCATCCTCTAGTTATTGAGAATTTGAAAGAGTGTGTTAATCAAGGTGACAGAAACTATTAAAAAAGCAATGTATAATAACAATGTGACGATACATGTATCTAAGCATTTTGTAGCTGCATAAGTGTTCAAAGATACCTAAACCCATAATAATGTAAACAAGTTGTCAATAACAATCATATACATATGTCGTAAATCTATGTGAGTTGAAAAAAGACTTTTTAAATATACATCAGACAAAAATTTAGTAAACTTTTATGTAAAGAAACATTAACTTGTAATGACCTACTTCTATGAAGAGAATGCGATTGGTATAATAGAAACAATTATTATTATAACCAAATTGTACCAGTGATTGTTTTACTGTACCTGTACCTCATAATCGAGTTAGTCACCAAAAAAAGAGAAATGGTGAGAGTAAGCAACCTTGTCTGACTCCATTCCTCACTTGGAATGCGTCTGTCAGATGTCTTCCATGCACGACTTTGCATTGTAGACCGTCGTATGAATTTCGGATGATGTTAACGATCATCTCAGTAACTCAAACCACAGTGTCGAAGAATTTTTCATGATGTTTTCCTATCCACACTATCGGATGCTTTCTTACAGTCAATAAAACATTCAATTAATTATCCAACAATGATTCTTTGTGTCACGATTTGGTCTGTATGCGACCGATCCTTACGGAATCCAGCCTGTTTATCTCGAAGTTGGGAGTCTACTACGTCTTTCGTCCTGGTCAGCAACACTCTGTTGAAGACCTTTCATTGTACTGACAGTAGTGTGATGCCTCCGTAGTTTTCACATTTGCTCAGATCTCCTTTTTTAATACCTTGATGAATTGTCCTTTTTCCAGTCCATTGGTTTTTCGTCTTCCTGCCAAATCTTCCTGAATAGAACGTGGAGCATGTTTGGCGTTACTTCAATATCTGACTTCAATGCTTTAGTTGTTATATTTTTAGGTCCTTCTGCCTTCTCACTCTTAGTTTGTCTGATGGCCATCCTAATCTCTTCGATCGTTGAAGGAGTGAGACCTATAGGAATGTCTGCGTGTGTCACTTCGATGTCCGGTAGATTCAGTGGAGCTGGTCTATTCAAGAGTTCTTGGAAATAATCTACCCATTTGTTCCTCTGTTGTTCAATCTCAGTGGTTGACTAGCCTTCTTTGTCCTTAAC